CCTGTTTTCCCCTGGAAGGGGAAAGGGGGAGAGTAATGATTTATAACCGGGAAAATCCTGAGGGATGTACCGAACTTGCAAGAAAAATCACTCACTCGAAAGCAAAAGACTTGGCAGACGAGCAATCCCCAAAAAAAAAGAGGGGGGCCCCTTTAAATACCAACAAAATTAGGGGCCCGGCGAAAGTCCCCCTCGGGGAAATTTTGGGAACCCCAGCCGGGCCCAAAACCCCTAAAGGGCCAAAGGGCCGGGGGGGGCGGGGGTTGGGGGGTTTTCCCACAGGGGGCTTTTTCCCCCCTTTACCCCGGGGGGGGTAACCGGGGAGGGGGGGGGAGGAATTTTTAGGTTTTGGTGTTATAAATTTTTATTTTAAGTTATTTTTTATTTTTTTTTCTTTTAAATTTTTTTATTATTTTTATTTTTTTTAATTTTTTAAATTTTTAATTTTATTTTTTTTTTTTAAATTATTTTTAAATTTTTTTTAAAATTTTTTTTTTTTTTTTTTTTTTAATTTTTATTTTTTTTTTTGTTAAATTTTATTTTAATTTTTAATTTATTTTTTAATTTTTATTTTTTAAATTTTTTTTTATTTTTTTAAATTTCTTTTTTATTTTTTTAAAAAAAAATTTTTTTTTTTTTTTATTTTTATTTTAATGTTTTTTAACTTTTTATTTTTTATATTTTAATTTTACTTTTTTTATTTTTTTTTACTTTTTTTTTTTTTTAAATTTTTTTTAATTTTTTTATTTTTAATTTTTTAAAATTTTTTTTTTTTTTATTTTTTATTTTTTTTTTTATTTTCTTTTACTTTTTAATTAATTATTTTAACTTATTTACTTATTAATATACTTATTTAACTTATTTACTTATTAATATACTTATTTAACTTATTTACTTATTAATATACTTATTTAACTTATTTACTTACTAATACACTTATTTAAGTTGTCAAGGGAAAGAGGGCAAGAGTGCCATGTATTAATTGTGAATTAAGTGCTCTTGATCCAGGGAACTTGCAGCTACCTTTTATACCCACATATCACACCTCATTAACGCCCCTCACCCCCCTGGAGGTGCACGGCCCCTACAGGTTTACCGTCTGGCCATAAATCACTAAAATAATTGAAGAAGTTGGCACCCCTCTAGAGGTGCGCGCGTGCGTGTGCGCACTCAGAAAAAACATCGATGGTGGAGAAACTTTGTGTCAGGAATTACGTACAAAGTACAGTGAATAACGTACAAAGTACAGTGAATAACGTACAGTAAGTAACGTACATAAGACTTGTTAATAGTGTAGGAATACTTGTGAGTGGCGGGTTTATTAATGGTGTCTGGCCCCTCGAGGAAGGTTCCTTGATGTTGGTCAGGGGCTCTTGATCCAGGGAACTGGATCTGTGCTCCAGTTCCCCGAATTAAGCCTGAATGCCTTCCACATCCCCCCCCCCCCAGGCGCTCTCTTTCTGTTTTAATCCTCGGTGGTTTTTTTAGGCCTTCTTTCCTCTTGATTTTCTTGATTATTTTAATAATTAATAATGGTTTTGGGTTTTTGTTTGGGTCTGGTTTTTATTGTTTATTTTTATTTTATTATAACTGGTTTTTTTGTTTATTTATAACTAGTTATTGTTTATTTTTTATCTATGAAACTATTTTATTTTTGTTTATATTGGATTTTATTATAACTGGTTTGTATATTATAACTGGTTTATTATACCTGGGAGGTTACCTGGAGAGAAGGAGTAGGAGGAGACGTGTTTCTGGGGTCTACGCCCCCGCGGCCCGGTCTGTGACCAGGCACCCCCTACTGGTGGGAATCAGTGCCTGATCAAACCTAGGCTTGTTGCTGCTGGCTTTCCTCTGCCTTGCACACAAAACAATTGTACGAGCCACACAGCCCGGCTCTCAGATCAGGGGAACTGACTTTCTTTAGGTGCTTTTTTTTCTTTGTCCAGGTGCCTGTGGTTTATTTTTTATTTTCATTTTACTAACTGTTTTTTTTTATTGTTTATAACTGGTTTTATACTATTGTTATAAACTGGTTTATTTATTGTGATAGCTGTTGGTTTTTAGTAGAACTGGTTTTATTGTTACAAATTGTGATTATTGTTATAGTGGTTTATTTATTGTTATAGCTGGTGTAATGTTTATGTAGCTGGTTTTATTTAGTTTTTTAGCTGGTCGTTCTTCTATGTTATAATGGTTTATTTATTGTTTATAGTTGGTTTTTTATCACCTGTTTTATTTAGTTATAACTGGTTGTTTATTATCAAAAAGTTTTTTTTTGTTATACAACATCAAGGTTTTTGTTACCCTTGATGTTTGCTTTGCTTTTGTGATCCATTTATGCCCTCTAAAATTTTACTCCATATATCAAGGTTAATTTAAATTAATTGGTTTTATTTATTAATTTGTTGTTTTTATTTAGAATTATTTAGTTCAGGTAAATATAATTTTTAGTACATGTACATGTAATAATATAAAATTATCATATATATAAAATTATCCACCAGGATAAAAACACAAAGTTTTTTTTTCAGAGGGAAGAGTACTGTCCCTAGGATTGCCACCCACACCAGTCCACTAACACCCAGGATGCCACCCACACCCAGTCAACTAACCACCCAGAGGATGGATGCCCCACCCACACCAGTCCATAAACACCCAGGATGCCACCCACACCGTCCACTAAACACCCGGATGCCACCCACACCAGTCACTAACCCACCCAGGATGACCACCCACACCAGTCCACTAAACACCCAGGATTTGCCACACACACCAGTCCACTAACACCCAGGGATGTCCACCCCCACCAGCTCCACTAACTCCATGGGGTGCCACCCACACCAGTCACTAACACCAGGATGCCAACCACACCATTCCACTCCACTAACACCCCGGGGTTGCCACCACACCAGTACACTAACACCACGGATGCCAACAACACTGTCCCTCTACACCCGGATGCCACCTCAACTGTCCACTAAACACCCATGGAATTGCCACCCACACCAAGTCAAATAACACAGGATGATGCCACCAACACCAGTACACTAAAACACACAGGATTGCCACCCACACCAGTCCACTAAACACAGGATGCCACCCACACCAGTCCACTAACACAAGGATGCCACCACCACCTGTCCACTAACACACAGGATGCCACCCACACAGTCCACTAACACACAGGATGCCACCCACACCAGGTTCCACTAACACACAGGATGCCACCCACACCAGTCCACAACACACAGTATCCATTTAACTGATGGGTGAACATAGACAACGGTGTAAGAAACACGTCTCCAATGTTTCACCTTAGGCTGGGATATCAACCTGGACCCTCACTGTGTGAAACCACCTGTTACCACCAGGACACGGGGCACCGTTTGCCTAAGTTTGTCATAGTTTAATCTCCACACTACTGTAAGTTTATTTTACTTACAAGTACACATTAATACAGTTACACAAATTAGCATACAATGTTTGAGGGTAGCATTATAAGGTTGACCTTAAAAATAGTGCTGAAAATTGTCCAGATTTAAGTATTATTATGTTACTAGGATTAGTCTGCCGATATGCCCCAGCATGATGTGACTTTTTTGTTACTTAGACAAACCAAAATTGTAATTACCACATTGTAAGTAATTATTCGGTATACACAAATACAGTTACATAGATTATCATACATGACTGTTCAACTGCCTCCCAGCATACATAAGGGGGATTACCAATAGACCCACTGGTTGTCTTCAAGACCCCTGGTTGTCTTCAAGACCCCTTGTTGTCTTCAAGACCCCTGGTTGTCTTCAAGACCCCTGGTTGTCTTCAAGACACCTGTTTTGTCTTCAAGACCCTGCTGTCTTCAAGACCCATGGTTGTCTTCAAGCAGGCAACTGGGGACAGGCACCCTAAAGTCAGTACCTGACCAGCCGGGGCTGTGGTTGGTTACATTGGACTGTGTGCGGCTAGTATAAACAGCCTGGGTTGATCAGGGCCCTGGTCCACATGAGGCCTGGTCACAGAACGGGCCACGAGGGCTGTTGCCCCGGAAACTATCTCCAGGTATACTCCAGGTATCACAGCAGCATTGTGTAGAGAACTGGGATAAACCTAAAAAAGTCTGTGATTATTTCCATTGGCCAGTAGGCCTGCTGCAGTGCTCTCCCAATCTTATATTCATTTATCGTTTCTGTACAGTTAGAACCGCATATGCAGAGATTCGGTTTCTACAGTTTCGGTTATCCACGGTTTTACCGTGGGGCCTGAACATATCTTAATTTAGCTTAATATGTTGGGTAAGACTATGCAGTAGTGATGGTGGCAGTTTTCAGGAGAATAGACATACAGTAGTGATGGTGGCAGTTGTTCAGAGACTAAGGACATGACAGTAGTGATGGTGGCAGTTGTTCAGAGTCTAAGACAAGCATCAAGTGGCTTTCTTAGTAAATGTGATAATTCTCCACTTACTGTGTGTCATTTTATAAATTAAAACTTCATCATAGGTATGTATGAAGTGAGAAAACAACTATTAGTGTTATCCTAGTTTTCCAAACTTTCTTCATTCCAGACAGGCTGTTCAAGTGCCGTTACTGAATGAATTTGTTCCCATAGGAATAATAATGTAATTAGATTTAGTCAGTCTTCGGACCACCAAAAATTACACTTACAGAGGCACGGACAATAATACACTTTATATAATTGGTCGAGTTGGGATCTGTTCAAAACTCGGGGGTTCCACTGTATGTGCATATGGTTGGGTACATCTGTGGTTTTGGGCATCCAGGTAGGTCTTGGAAGATATCCCTCATGGGTTATAGCGGAGAGACTACTGTAGTTCTTATCATTACAGGCCTATCAGAATGTGGGAGCCAAGATACAAGTGGACCTATCAGAAGCACCGGTGATCATAGGGGGTGAAGCAGGTGCCCATGATCAGCTTATACCAACAGAACAATACTGTTTCTTCTCTCCACACTATTAAAGACCAGGAGAGCCAACATGCCACTCCTTGATGCTATTTTAGAGAAGGTAAGTTCGATAATATTGTTAGGTTTTATTTTTACCTGGGGAGGGTTATCCACCCAGGATAACCGGGTGGGGGAGGGTTAGCCACCGGGATTAACCTGGGGTGGGCGGAGGGTTGGCTACCCAGATAACCCAGGATAGGGAGGAGTTAGCCACCAGTAACCAGGGTAGGGGTGTTAGCCAGCCAGGATTAATCCAGGGATGGAGAGTTAGGCTACCCAGGATAACCCAGGGTTAGGAAGTGTTTAGCTACCCAGGATAACCCAGGAGGATAGGGAGAGTTAGCACACAGGATAAAACCCGGGTAGGGAGTGTTAGCCAGCCAGAAATCCAGGTAAGGTGAGTAGCTACCAGGGATAACCCAGGGTAGGGTGTGATAAAGCCACCAGGAGTAAAACCAGGGGGTAGGGAGAGGTTATCCACCCAGGAATAAGGAGTGTTCAGCCCAGCCAGGATAATCCAGGGTAAGGAGGTTAGCTACCAGGATAACCAGGGTAGGGAGAGGGAGAGTTAGCCACCCAGGATAAACCAAGGGGTAGGGAGAGTTAGCCACCAGGATAAAACCCAGGTAGGAGAGTTAGCCACCCAGGATAACCCAGGGTAGGGAGAGTTTGGCCACCCAAGGATAACCCAGGGTAGGAGAGTTAGCCACCCGGGATAACCAAGAAAAGTCAGTGGGTCATCGAGACTGTTTGTCTTACATATTTCATTGTGGTTCTTCCAATCTTGTCCCCCAGGATGGCCACCCACAAATGGTAACTGCTAGGTGTACAGTTGACTGCAGGTTTAGATGACTAACACCAAGGTTTACCTACTTACTGTAGGTGACAGTTGACAGCAGGTGTCTTAAGGAACACGACTACCGTTTCGGCCCGTACGCGAATCAAACCCGGACCCAGTGTGTGAGCATTGGAACTGAGTAATTCACAGTATTTTGTGTTTTCAGAACATTCCGGTTGCTGGACTATGAGCGTATGTGTGACAGGCAAGGCCAGCGTGTGGTGGTGTCGGCAAGTATACTGGAGTTGCTGGCATGATCAGCATTCTTATTGGACTTGGTCTTTGTCTCCTAATACTTGGGCATCACACACCCTTCATGATTATGCTACTACTTGGGCATCACACACCTTTGTGGTATGTTCTAGCCACTTGGGCATCACAACACCCTTCATGGTTGTTCCTAGCACTTGGGCTTACACACCCTTCATGGTTATGTACCTAGCACTGGGGCATCACACACTCCTTCATGGTATGTTTCCTTAGCACTTGGGCATCACACCACACTTCATGGTATGCCATAACAAATACCCTGCACGATGGCAATTCTCTACTGGCAGTAGTGTACTGACAATAAGTTCGGGTCAGTCTTTTATCAGTAACTTGCTATAATAATACAAAAAAAAAAATAATTAGGTTTTATTATTATTATTACACTGGCCGATTCCTCAAAGGGCAGGGTGGCCCGAAAAAGAAAAACTTTCACCCATCATTCATCCAATCACTGCTTGCAAGAAGGGCATTTACACTACAGTTTTTAAACTGCAACATTAACAACCCCTCCTTCAGAGTGCAGGCACTGTACATTCCCATCTCAGGACTCAAGTAGGCCTTGCCGGTTTCCTGAAACCCCTTCATAAATGTTACTTTGCTCAACACTCCAACAGCACGTCAGTATTAAAAACCATTTGTCTCCATTCATCCTATCAAACTCGCTCACGCAGCCTGCTGGAAGTCAAGCCCCTGCACACAAAACTCCTTTACCCCCGCTCTCCAAACCTTTCCTAGGCCCCGACCCCTACCCCGCCTTCCTTCCACTACAGACGGATACACTCTTGAAGTCATTCTGTTTCTGCTCATTCTCTCAAAATTGTCCGAACCACTCAACACCCTTCCATCAGCCCTTGGACAAACGTTTGGTAATCCCGCACCTCCTCTAATTCCAATTACGAATTCTCTGCATTATTTTCACACCACACATTGCCCTCAGACATGACATCTCACTGCCTCCAGCCAGTTCTCGCTGCAACATTTTCATCACCCATGCTTCACACCCATTTATGAGCTGTTGGTAAAACAATACTCTCATTTTACATTCCCCTCTTTTGACTCCAAGGACAAAGTTCTTTGCATCCACAGACTCCTAAGTGCACCACTCAATCTTTTTCATCCCTCATCATTCTATGATTCACCTCATCTTTCATAGACCCATCTGCTGAAAGTCCACTCCCAAATATCTGAATACGTTCACCTCCATAACTCTCTCCCTCCAATTGATATTCAATCTTTTACATCCCTAATCTTTTGTTATCCTCATACTTACTCTTTCCTGTATTACCTGTTTAATTTTCTTCTTTTGCACACCCTACCAATTCATCACCAATCTCTGAACTTCTCTTCAGAATCTCCAAGAGCACAGTGTCATCTGCAAAGAGCCAGCTGTGGACAACTCCCACTTTGTGTGGATTTCTTTATCTTAATCCACGCCTCTGCCAAGACCCTCGCATTTACTTCTCATTACAAACCCCATCTTAATATATTAAACAACCACGGTGGACATCACACATCCTTTGTCTAGGCCTACTTTTTACCCGGGAAAAAATTTCCTCTTCCTACATACTTAACTTGGCCTTCACTATCCTCGTAAAAACTCTCACTGCTTTCAGTAACCTACCGCCTACACCATACACTTGCAAATCTGCCACATTGCCCCCCTATCACCCTGTCATAAGCCTTTTCCCAAATCCATAAATGCCACAAAGACCTCTTTAGCCTTATCTAAAATACTGTTCACATATATGTTTTCACTGTAAAACACCTGGTCCACACACCCCCTACATTTCCTTAAAAGCCTCCTTGTTCATTGTAATCCTATTTTCGTTTACTCTTAATTCTTTCAATTATAACTCTACCATACACTTTACCAGGTATACTCAACAGACTTATCCCCCTATAATTTTTGCACTCTTTTTATTCCCTTTGCCTTTATACAAAGGAACTATGCATGCTCTCTGCCAATCCCTAGGTACCTTACCCTCTTCCATACATTTATTAAATGATTGCACCAACCACTCCAAAACTATATCCCCACCTGCTTTTAACATTTCTATCTTTATCCCATCAATCCCAGCTGCCTTACCCCCTTTCATTTTACCTACTACTTCATGGTATGCCATTACAAATACCCCTGCACGATGGGCAATACTCTACTGGCAGTAGTGTACTGACAATAAGTTCTGTCAGTCTTATTATCAGTAACTGCTATAATAATACAAATAATTAGTATAATCAGTAAATATTGAATCAGTTGATTCCTACAGCACATTGGACCCGCCCATAATTACCGCAACACAGAGATGGCAAGACAGTCAATTCGTGACACCGGCTATGAAATTTCGCTGGGCATGATGCCGAAATCCATTGGTTCTCTGATGTTCATTTCACCGGCACCGGGAAAGTGTCACAGGGGGCCAGAGATAGTTCAGGGAGCTGGCCCTATGGGAGTATGTCTCTGTGAAGGCGTTGAGAAAGTCACGAGCATGAGGTAAGTCATTAGATGAATCTGAAAACTCCTGAACAAAAGGACCGGATAGGGATTCAAAATGCTGTACATGGGGTGAGTAATGATGAGTGACCTAACTGGTCACACCACCACTAACTGGTCACACCACCACCACTAACTGGTCACACCTCCACCACTAACTGGTCACACCTCCACCACTAACTGGTCCACACTCACAACTAAACTGGTCCACACCTCCACCACTAACTGGTCACAGACTGTACCATAATTACTGGATGAAGGTTCAAACCTACACCACTAACTGGTCACACCTCCACCACTAACTGGTCACAGACTGTACCATGATTACTGGATGAAGGTTCAGACCTACACCAACTAACTGGTCACAGAAAAGTTAAAATGTTTATTTCAGCTTAATACAATGTTTGTACAGTGATGGGTGACATGATACAATGTTTGTACATGATGGGTGAACATGATACAATGTTTGTTACAGTGGATGGGTGACATGATACAATGTACAGTGATGGGTGGTAACCCCCCCCTTTTTGGATAGTGCTTGTACAGTGATGATTGACATGATAGTGCTTGTACAGTGATGGGTGAATGATTATAATGTAGTGATGGGTGATATGATACATTGTTTGTACAGTGATGGGTGACATGATACAGTGCTTGTACAAATGATGGGTGAATGATAAAAATGTTTGTTTACAGTGAGGGTGACATGATTTACACTGTACAGTTATAGTTGACTTGATACAATGTGTGGTACAGTGAGGGTTGACATGATGCATGTGTGACAGTGATGGTTGACATGATACAGTCCTTGTCAATGATGATTGGCTGATAGTGGATTGTACAGTGATGGGTGACATGATACAGTGCTTGTACGAGTGATGGTTGACATTGATAGTGCTTGTACAATGATGGATTAGGTGACATGATACATTGCTTGTACAGTGATGGGTAATGATTACAGGGCTTGTACAATGATGGTGACATGATAAGTAAGTAAGTAAGTAAGTTTATTCAGGTATACAACCAAATACAGTTACATAGAATTAATCTTCATTGCAGCTATGTGTAGAGAACCTGGGATTAACACAAAAAAAAAGTCTGAGTGACTTATTTCCATTGGGGTCCTTTGATACAGTGCTTGTACAGTGATGGTTAACATGTTACAGTGCTTGTACAGTGATGGGTGACATGTTACAGTGCTTGTACAGTGGATGGGTGACATTTTTAGGTTGTGCATGCAGAAGCCCATCAGTCATGCAGAGGCATTTTGGGTTCCAATTTACAATATTTTGACTTTACAACAGTTGACTTACGAGAGTTCAACTTTACGATGGTGTAGCAGCAATTACTTTGGAGATGAAACTTAAGATAATTACCCAACATGAAGGTAACTTGTATTCATTCATTTACTTTTTAATACTGGTACAGCTTCCTCCACTTAACGATGGAGAGTTCCCATCAT